TGTGTGTCTGTGTGTCTCTGTATGTGTTTCTGGGTGTATGTATGTGTCTTTCTCATTGTGTCTCTGTGTTTGTCTCTGTCTCCCTCTCCCCTTTTCTCTCGGTGTCTCTGTGCCTCTCTCCTCTTCTCTACTTTTCTCTCTCCTGGGAATATTTGAGTATATTTATTACTATCAGTAAGAAGAAACCAAACACATTTTTCTCTTCCATGACTTTGTACCCGGGAGCCTCTTACATCAAAATCTGTCCTCAAGTCAAGTCTCTGAAGCTCTTTAGCAGGGCATCTTGTACCTCAGTTGCTGTTTCTCAACAGTCCACCTTTCTGTCTGCTGACATAGTACATCACACTATATATCTTACCCTATAATCATTAAAGCCTTCTTATATTTTGTGCCTACATGGAAAAAGAAACCATAGGGCTATGGGCTATGAATCCAGAATGTATCAAAGGTTGACAATTTGAGACAGTCAATCAGTCTAAAAGTATACTTCCCATGTAGTAATATATATATTACTACAAAATGTGGCTAAAAACAGTAAAAAACAAAGACAATGAATAAACAGCAGCAAATCTTGATACCCACATTCACAGTTTCAAACTGAAATTCAATTATTTACTGGGTAGGATTCACTTTAAATGCAGAATTCAAAGTTGAGCAAATGGTTTAAGGAAGCTGAAGTTTACTCATCTTTCACCTTCTTGCAATATACAGGGCCCAGAGAAGAGGCTGTGTCTTCACAGTCTGCAGGGTGTGACATACGTATCAACTCCTTAGAGAGGAGGAGGCATTACTTCGCAGCCTGCAGGAAATAATGGCAGGCCTAGGATTCCAGCCACAAGCTAAGAGAAAGTTCTCAGGCTTGAGACTACTCCAAGTGCTCTTGAAGTTGCATCTGTTATGCACAAATTATACTGAAGAAGGAGAAAGAAGAAGGAGAAGGACAGGAAGAAAAGGAGGCCGAGGAAGTAGAGGAGGAACAGGGGGAGGAGGAGAGACCAGATAATCTAGCACGATTGTACTTGCACTTTTCAGGACCTTTGTGGAGATAGTGACCACCTGCTTCAACTGTCAAGGAGGCAACAGTACAACTGATACTTCATGTAAGATTTGGAGAGAAAAGTTTCATAGATAAACATTGACCAACTCTTCTATGGTGTTTAAAGTTGATATTAAGATCCTTGATAGTTCAGGAAAGTTGTCAGAAGGGTAGATAATTGGAGTGACAGAACTAACTCAAGGGACTGGAGAGATGAATTCAGCTTTTAAGAGCTCTTTGAGAGGACCCAAATTCTGTTCCCAGCACCCACAAGTCAACTCATTAATGCCTGCAATTCCAGTTTCAGGAGATCTGATGCAACTGATTCCCTAAGACAAGCATTCTCATGCACATACCTACACAGATACACATAATTAAATGAATAAAAATAAATACTAAAAAACAATAATTGGAAGAAAACCATTGAGAATAAAAAATGTCAACAAAAGTATCAAAAACAAATATATATTATAATAAAACCAAATAGTTGACCAACTATACTAAAATTCTAGTTACCAATTGGGTATATCAAGTATTTTTAAATTAGCAAGAAGATTTCTATGAAGGAGAGGGTTTAAATGAATCCACCAGACCCAAGATAAACAATAAATAGATATTTATTAGGGAAGCACTTACACAGATAATAGTAGATAACTGCCATGGTCTTCCTGTTCCAGAAAATGCAGTCTCTGCCCTTCCGATAGTCTCACCACAGCACAAGAGAGCTAGCCAGCCCCTCATCTACCTTCTAAGGGGTCAAATCTGCACACTTGAAGCCATGCCAACAGGGTGTAGCCACCACAGCAATTTCACTGGCAAAGCAAGATGCCACTATATTTCTAAACTAAAATTACGAGCAAAGATACTCTGGGCATGTACAAACAAAAGTATAGTTATTATTAATTAGGCAAAGTAAAAGTTATAGTGAAAATATGACAAAAGGGACATTATGCCAGGATTTAATGTACAACCCAAAGTCATAAACTTCTACAAATTTGAGAATATATTAACAGAGAGTGGCATAGAAAGGCAGACAGACCACAATGGACAGAGAAATAGAGAGAGATGGTGAGTGAGGGACAGTGAAAGATGCAGGAAGAGTCACAGAGAGAATGGAGTATCTTGAAATCAATATATGGAAAGCAGCTATACATACAAACAAGAAAAACATGGAGAATTATGTTATTTCCATGATAAAAGAACTAAATATTTGTCTTGGAAATTAAAGACTAGGGACATGCTGAGAAAACTGAAAATTTTTTGTAACAAGGAGACAGATGTTTGCCAATTGGGGAGAGTTTCACAGAGACAGATTTCATTTGCTTGTGAATGTTGTAGGAACCATCTTGGAGAGTGTAGTTGAGAAAGTACTATTGATGATATCAAAAAGCCCTGGTACAGGGCAGAAATTAAAATAATGTGATTACAAATACATTAGCCAGTGTGATGGCTATTCTTTCTTGTTAACTTGGCTACACTTGGAATTAACTAAAACCCAAACATGAACAAGAACAAAGATGATCCTTAGACCGTAAGGTCAAGATATTTTTATCCATATAAATACCAGCCAAACGCAAGCCAGAGCGCACCCAAGGCAGCCGAACAGCAAGGCCAGAGAGAAGGGGCCTCCCATGTGCTCGCCGTCTCTTAAGAACCTATCCTGACCTATCATCCTGACCGCACCTTGACCGCATCCTGACAGGTGTGGTCAGGCACAACTGTAGCCAGCCTCTACCAGGTGTGGCTTACTGTCCCCTACAGAGGGGCACACCTGTGAGAGATTTTTGCTTAGTTTGATGTGGGAAGATCCACTTCTAATCTAGATCTTTGAGGTGAGAAGACATACCTTTAATTCAGAACTTTTGAAGTGGGAAGACTCACCTCTAATCAGGTCCACATCTCCTGCTGGAAACCTATGTAAGGACATGAAAGAAGGAAGCTTGCTCTCTGCCTGATTGCTTATTCTCTTGCTGGCATGACCATTCTTCACTGGCCTTAAGGCCAACTTCTTTGGGATTCCAGTGTATATTGAAGACCAGCTAAGACAATCACTCTCATAGACTAAACATCTACTGGATTTTGCACCTTCTGTGGCAGTCATTGTTGCATTAGCTGGACCACAATCTGCTAATCATTCTCATAAATCCCCTTCCTCTACAAATATGGACAGATTCTGTTAAGATTTGTTGCTCTAGAGAACCCTGACTAACACAGCCAGTAAATTTAGTAATGCTGTTTTCTCCAGTGTGGTAACATGAAGATAATTAAACTTAAAGGTCTTTTTGTTGTTGTTGTGTTTTGTTTATTTGTTTGTTTATGTAGTTGAGGATCACAAGGAATGGGTACCAGAAGGTAAAATGTGAACAATTGCCTAACATATAGTCAAGCTGGAAGAAAAGTACTAAAACTTGCAGGGTGAAAAATATATTATAATTTATATTGAAGCATAATCACACAAAATAATGGGGCAACATAAGTCAATGAGGAAATCTGTATGCTAGGTTTTATCTTTCAATTATTAACTCACCAAGATATATCCCATTTTATATGCTATGTTCCCAATGTTGTGTTGGTACTTTTCCATCAGGAGGTGGGGTCTAAGTCTGTTCTCCCTTGGAAGTCAGCAAAATTTTGTAACTGCCTCCTCCAAAACACTGCAGTGAATTATGTATCCTGATTCTGGAGGCTATTCACAAGAATCACTGCTATATTTTGTGTATCATTGGGATTTTTCCCCTCTGATTAAACTCATGCACTCAAAAAGAGAGGAGATTAGTTTTTCTGGTACTATATTTTTCCTATGAAATAAATCACTGGGTGTAATATTGCCATTAGCAGACTTGTGTTATACAAAACCTACATATAAGCATAAGATGATTTACAACCACAATGTAATCAATCCATTTTCAGAGAAGTAATGTCTGATATTAGGTCATTTACTTAAATCTACAGAGACAATTTATAATGTTATAATTTCAGTTATGGGTTTTAGTAAACATATGCATTCTGAAAATAAAATCTAATTTCTCCTCTAATGCAAAATGAACATTAACAGATTGTAATAAAAACAATAAATTATGTGGCAGTGGGAATACAGATGCTGCCTTTCATTTGCCTCTCTCTCTCTCTCTCTCTCTCTCTCTCTCTCTCTCTCTTTCTCAGCAAAGGTAATACTTTATATTTACTAAATGGAGATTTCAAAAGGTATTGGGGGTAATTCGTTTCATTGAACTTCAGGGAAGTTGTAGATTAAAGTAAGGAATAACAGCACCCAAGTCTGAATGATGAAGATATGGTGAATAGTTAACTTCCTGTGGAGAATTTATGCATCACTGAAAGGAGCCGTTTTTCACACTGTGGCTGGATTTTGAAGAAATAGGGGCATGTCACAGAAGTGGCATCATTTTTAGTCCTCTTGGGGTTTGAAGCAGTTGCAAACATGAGACATATCCGTTTCACATTTGAATGTAACTTGGATTTACAATAATTTCCCTGGTTTGTTTATGCCTTAGAAGACTGTTACATTCAGGAAGCACAGCTTAGTATTTTAGTAAATGTGCAGAGAATGTATCATTTCCCTTGTTACTTGGTTTGCCCACTTTCGTGGAAGCATAATATCCTAGTTTCACACACCAAGGAGAACAATTGAATTTGAATATAATTAGGAAAGTTCACAGCTCAAGACAAATTGGTGAGGAAATGGTGACATCAGAAGCTGACTCTAACTGGCAGTGCTCTTAGGAAGCAAGAGCAGAAACAGAAACCTTATTCCGGAAGTTTCAGTTGGGAAGCTGGTTGGTGTCAGCACTTCCGTCTTTCTCCCAGGTGAACAGCTCAAGTTGTACAACATGATAGTATTCATTTTCCTGGGTAAGTGAACTGTGATGCTAGTTCTGAATTTATTGCAGTATTAACTCTTTGTAAGCTGAATGCTGTCCCATCTGGCCTAAGCTTATGGGGACATATAGTAAGAAATGCCAACTATGTTACTAACTTGTATTGAATGTTATTTTGAGAAATGTGCTTTTACTTGTAGTTACTTGTTTCTAAGTCTACAGAAAATACAAAACAGGAGCATTTCATTACTCATCACATTGCTCCTACTCCTGCAAAACAACCCAAATGACTTTGAACTATTTATTAAGATACATTGAGTTTCCATATGAGCAAGAACCTTTGAAAAAGGTACCTGTCCAGTATCTACTTACAAGTTAAAGGATGGCAAACTTTTATTTATCTGTTTATCTTTGACAGCAGATGAGAGGGGGGAGGGAGGAAAGGATGGAGAGAAGAGAGGAAGGGGGATGGAATGAGGGAGAGAGAGAGAGAGAGAGAGAGAGAGAGAGAGAGAGAGAGAGAGATCAACATACACTGTCCCTCTAGTTTTCAACCTTAATAACCAGGACCAGCTGAGGAGAACAAAGCTACTGAGCTCTGAATTAAAAGCTCTGCCTCATGAGTGTCATTCATGGCCACAGGTAAAATGTGGGCTCAACTCTCTTGTGTTGGGTCATTATAAGAGGTTGGTCCAAATAATTTCCTCTTGAGGAAGAGCCCACAAAAACCTACTTCGTAGATACGTGATTGATGACGGTTAATATTTTCTTCAGGGTATGTTAGTGTCTACATATCGGTTTCAGGATGCAGAAAAATTGTGATCATACTGAATATTAATAAACAAGCCAGGATTTTCTTTACTGTTAGCTATAGTTGTTGATGAATGGGGCTAAATTAGAGCCAGACAATAATGTAGGTTAGTCCAAATTACATTAAAAAGAAAAGGAAAAGCAAAATAAATCAAAACCAAGAAAATTAGCCAGGAAGTAAAGGATCCTTTGCACATTTCCAGTGTCTCTGTGGAAATTCCTGTGTTGAGGGGATTTTCTTCTTCTCATTGCTATAATGTTTCCTTATTTCTTTATTAGTTTCTAGCATTTATACTGTTGTTATAAGTCTAGGAGTTTCAATTTTTGTAGCAATGTATTGAATCACACAAACTATATCACTTCTTCCTCAAGGCTTTGGCTGAAAAGGCCATGGTCATTTGTTGTCATCTTTTATTTCCAAATTAACACAGAACCCAGGTTGTGTGAAAAATGAAATTATTCCTAACATGGTTAGGTCTGAAATTTTCCCCATACTGCCTAGTGTTTATTCAGGATTATATGATTAATTACATGTTATGATGGAGCAAATTTCTGTTGCTCAAAACTGTAAGGTAAATGGTGAATTTCCTTAAGAGGGTGATATACTTTACAGCATTCTTTGTCTTACTAGTTTTAACATGATTTTTTTCATTTGACATCAGTAGGATTTTTTGACAAATTCCATTTCAAATATCAAGTCATAAATCATAGCCAGGAACAAGTAGGGCAGAGTCTGGAAAGAGAAAGCTGTGTTTTTGGATTCATGTGGGACAAATCATTGAGATGACTTAGTTAGTTCATTAAGTACATCATCTAAGTATAGAAAATGATAAAAAAAATTCATTTGGAATATTCAACAAGAAGTTGAAAAGGAAAAAGGAAGTAAAATACATTTGGGGAAGTGATTACACGGGATCACCACACAGATGACCTGGAGAGGGTGACGTGCAGCCAAATGTGAGTTTCCTAATTGAGTTGGTCACAAGATGGCACATAACTGCAATGCCAGCATTGGGGAAATCTAAAACAGGGTCATGACTTTTATGCCAGTCTGTGGTATATACTGTGTTTAATGCTAAGCTAAACTATAAGGGGTGGGGGTGCTGTATTCAAAACAAACAAAGCATCAAAAGATAAAATAATCATAGTCAATAAATGTCATTTCCTTATAAATTAAGCTTTAACCATGAATTTTTATTTCACAGTCTTTGGATAACTGAACTGGTACAAGTCACCTTGTACTTGTGTTGAAAAATAGCCATCTTGCATTTTGTGTTTGCAAACCTGGAGTACAGGTTGACTAGGCAAGCTTATCCAAAAGCACATGAAGAAAGCAGAAAGTTTATATGTTCCAACCTAGTGCTCAGCAAGAAAATTATAACTGAGGTGCTTGGGGAGAGTCCAGTGGTTTAAAGCACCTGTTTCTCTTGAGAAGATCCAGGTTCGACTCTCAGCACCAACATGGTAGCTCACAACCATGTATAATTCCAGTTCTAAGAGATCCAGTTCCCTCTTCTGGCCTCGGCAGGCATCAGGCTTGTACCTGGTACTCATACATCATATATGCAGGCCCAAATCTCATATAGATAAAATAAAATAAATTTAAAAATTAAAACTTTATAAAGAAAAAAAGAAAACTATTGTGGAGCTGAGCACATGGGCCTACCCTCCTAGTGTAGAAACTCAGGAAGCAGTACATTAGGCCCAATCATTTTTCTTGGATTCGTAGAAAACAAGGCTTGGAAAGAGGTAACACAAAAGAAATGTACTCTTATAACTCTACATTGTCACAGGCAACTCACAGTTAATCCAATCTTTTGAAACAGTTGAATGTCTAGGCTCAAACAAAGCTTGTAGTTCATATCCATGACTCAATTGTGATTCTCTTATTTTTCCATTTATTGAATAAGCAAGTGTCTGTTTTGCTTGTTTGATAAAAGAAATTGATTGAATTGTAAAATACACCAAATTAGGATTGATATTTTCTTGATTGCTTTCAGAAAACTTCCCTGAAAATAACTTGTAAATGTCTGGGTGGCTTATTAGTTATTTATACAGACCTTATCAATTAAGAGCTAAACTGATGTAAATCAACATATACTCATTGGACACCCATAAAGTGCATCTGTGTATTGAGAACACAATTCTGAATGGCTCCTATTACCTGTCCAGTCAACCTAGAGAGCATAGTGTTGTAGACTAGCCCATGAACAGAGATTGCAGGGCAAGAAATTCTACAGCTTTGGGATTTCTAACTTCTCAGGGAGAAAAAAGATGCATTTTTGCTCATTTTGGTTGTAGAAAACAAGAAAGTATAAAAGTCAGAGTTTTCCATAACATAGATAATTATCATGATCAGTTTTAAAGGACAAAGAATTATCCCAGAGGACAAGAATTAGTTTGCTTATTAGAGGACAGAGGGTAAACTTCAAAGGGGCAAGGCAGCTTGGAGCACTACAGAAAGCTCTAAGATCTCTGGGTTGCATGTGATAAGGAATAGGAAAGCCATGTTATGAGGAGCCATCCAAAGAGACTAAGTAAAAAATGGCGGCAGTACGAAAGTGTTTTCCATACATAAGGTGACATAAAGAACTGCTCTGGGTGAAACAAACCCAGAAGACAGGCAATTGACCAGGGAAAGATGTTCAATGGCTCAGCACGCAGATGCACAAACTTCTCAGGGATAGATACAGACAATGAAGTCGAGGATGCATTAAAACAACTCTCATGAATTGTTTGGATGCCTGTATTACCAGTGCCATTGCTGATGAAGTAGAGTTACTCCTCATAGAGAATTGACGACAAGGACAAAGTTAAATTAGTCTGAGTCTGGAATCTTGTCTACAGCATGTTGACAGAGGAAATAGTTTTTTTTATCTAGGCTTGGTATTGAAACTATTAGGATCAAATTATGTATTAGAGAATCTTTAGTCTAGATATTTTACATCAAGCCATGAGAGAAATAGGATTCTCCCTGAAGAGTACAAATAAAGCCGAGGAAGTTCCAAAAGCAGGACATAAACTGGAAATATGTTTGAACTGAGCACTAAGAGGATGCCTCATTCTCAGCGGATGGTGTAAGGTGGCAAATCACCAAGCGACGTAAAAGAGACTCTTTTAAAAGAAGAGGGAGACGCTAAGGCAAATAGTCAAGACAAATCGACAAGACACTGACAGATGAGACAAAGTCCTTAAAGGTGTTGCATTTCATGTTAAGGGGTGACAAAAGACATTTTTTTAGAAGTGGTTTAGGGACTGGAGAGAGAACAGTAGTTCAGAATGCTTGCTGCTCTTCCTGAGGATAGAAGTTGGATTCCTGTGACCAGGTTTGGCAGCTTGCATTCACTTTAAAACCAGCTCCAGGAGATCTGCCTCCCTCTTCTGACCTCCATGGGCACCCACACATGGGTACGTAAGTGCACATACACAAAAATTGAAATAAATCTGGTTTCAGAAGCAGTTTTAATGGAACAAAAGTAATAAAAATTTTACCATTCAAGGAGTAAATGGAAGGTGAGAAAGAAGAGCAGGGAAATAACACACCTTGTCTAAGAATCTTACACAGCTCAGTAACAAGCCTGGATCTGTAAGTATTTCTGTCATTTTTGGACTTAGAACTCTTTGGGTATAGACCAAAGAATGCTAGTATTCGGTCTCTTTTCAGTTTTTTGAGAATCTTCCACACTGATTTCCACAATAATTACCAGTTTACACTTCCACCAATAGTGAATAAGGGTCTGTTTTCATGTTGTCAGCAGCATTTGTATTCTTGACAAGAGCCATTCTGACTGATGTGAGATGCAACCAATGAATTAAGCGTTTGTACTTCCTTGATGACTTAAGAATATTAAACATTTTACCAAACCGTGGGACCATGTGGGGAGAGGAAGAGGATAAGGGAGGAGCCTCAGCAGAGTCAAATAAGACTAAAATACAAGGATGCATATGTATAAAAAATGTCACAGTGAAACCTGTTACGCTGTATGATAATTAAAACAATTAAGTGAAAGTTACCTGTTTACAATAGAGAAATGCAGCCCCCTAATAGTTTTGCCACATTGTATTGACCATAATTCTGCCTTTCACTATCGATAACTTAGATTTGAGGAAAATGGTCACCAAACAGTAACATTGCAAACATGTCATTTTTTGTTGTTGTTGTTGTTGCTGTTGCTGTTGGTCAAGCTGCAAGGCTAAGCTCAGAAAATGAACCCTCTTCCCAGACAATTGACTGTGAACATTTAATGCAGCAATGCTTGATTGATACAAATGGCTGTGAGCAGGCATGGAGATCAGTGGAAGACACCTGCACTGTTCCAGGTAAAACCCGGGGTTAAAAGTTCATCCAAAAGAGTTAACATCCAGGGAGGTTTTGCATTATCTCATAGAATCCTAAGAGCTAAATGATTTTTTACTTTAAATACTTCACTTATTCTTTTTTTTTTTTGAAGGCTTGCCATTGGTGGTATTACTTCATGGTGTGGCTAGCCATTTGAGAAGAAAGCACAGAGGGCAAGCATGGATGACCAAGTTTAGACAGAAAATACTTCACTTATTCTTGATACTCACTTGACTCATCCAGTGAACATAGTTACAAAACTATACTATTATTTATGGGCCCTTAGAGTGAAACTGGGTGTAGCTTTCAGTACAATTTCAAATCATATTTTTTTTCTCTCTCTATGAATACTATAACTAAATACCTACTTCTCAGAACATTACTAATATTTTGTTTGTACATTTATAATATGCTATGTATACTATTTTCTATTTCTACACCGCCATGGACAAATTAAAATATGTTTTAAGGGTGGTATAGTGCAACTGTTTGGAGGGTGGTTAGGATTACAGCAAAGATTGTAGTGACTGCAAGAAAATGTAAGAAACTGAGCTGGCAGAGAGAAATAAAAGAATGAAGATTCTATTCTACCTCAGGAGAGCAGACATCTACTGTTGTGAGGGTTAGCACCCAGAAACCCGGCCACACAGCATCTGGAGATGCAGAGAAACAGGATGGCTGAGTGAAGAAAGAGTCTAAGAGTTTTTGTAGATAAGAGTGGGGAAGGCAGAAGTCATGGCTTTGCCACATCCAGAAACTACTTTTCCAGTTAAAAGGTGTTAGATGGGAGATAAATGGAATTTCCTATTTTTTCAACCTCTGAACATATGTGATGGGATTAGCTGCTCCCTGAATTCCAGGGAACCAGTTTAATAGCCCCCATTCTTTTGTTTTTTGCTTGTTTTGTCATTGTTGTGGAGGGAGGTGTGGGGTGCTGTTGAGTGATTGGCGTTTGTAAAACAGTAACAAAAATTCTTAGAACGCTCAGGTAGCTGAGTTAATACTACTGAGAGTACATTAGCATTCACTAAAAGTAGATTGCTGTGAGAGACTGGCTACACAATGAAACATTCCCTTGGTGTTGTTAAGCCAAACTTGTTTTAAAAATTGTATTCTGCCATTAGGACAAATTTAATTGTCTCTGTACTGTGATTATTATAGCTAAACATTTCAGGAAAAGTGTGCAAAGTTTAATAAGAGACTAAAAAGGGAAAATGAAAATTTATCAAATACATATTGGTTCTCCACCCTGCCAACAAATATTTGGATAATATATTGCTAGTGAATCTCACCTATGCCCCACAGAGTGTTCTAGGTGAAAGTGAAAGGCAGTGACCTACAGTTCTACCAATGCCAGGGTCTCCATCCAGCTGAATGCAGCATACTCACAGCAGTACAATTTCAAATCATAATTTTTTTCTCTCTCTATGAATACTATAACTAAATACCTACTTCTCAGAACATTACTAATATTTTGTTTGTACATTTATAATATGCTATGTATACTATTTTCTATTTCTACACCGCCATGGACAAATTAAAATATGTTCTGCAGCATACTCCATAGTATGCTGCAGAAGACTTCTCTGCCCTTGAGAGAGAACAGAAATATTTCCATCCATAGGAGAGTTAGAGCTGTCTAACCCAGTGCTCACACATTTGCTCAGAATAAAATATTTTAAGATGAGGTCAGAATATGACCAAAAAAAATCTTACTTGATTTGATGATGAAATTCCAAGCTATATTTGACAAGGCAACTTTAAATGGGGTATTAAAATATTATAGTTAATATGTCATGAATTAAAAGCATTTATGTTAGCAAATAAATCTGAGTCATTTGCAATACATTTTAGTATCTGAGTAATTATTTTATATATGAAGCAGAGAAAAATATCCCCAGATATAAAAATGAAAAAATCAATTCTTTTTTAATGAAAAAATGTAGGTTAGAGGCAGATTAATTTTTAACCAGAAAATGAAATACTGTTAATTATAAATGACTTATTTATTCAACATTATTTATAAAATGCTTTCTAAAACTTAGGAGAACTTAAACTTTTCATAAAAAATTAGAAGCACTTACATATCTTTTAATATAGTTTTAGAGTAGCAAGCACAATAAACTAGACTACAACAAGAGCCAACAAAATGGTTAAAGTGAAGCAGGGCGTTGGTGGCACACGCCTTTAATCCCACTCGGGAGGCAGAGGCAGGCAGATCTCTGTGAGTTCAAGGCCAGCCTGGTGTCCAGAGCGAGTGCCAGGATAGGCTCCAAAGCTACACAGAGAAACCCTGTCTTGAAAAACCAAAAATAAATAAATAAATAAATAAATAAATAAATAAATAAATAAATAAATAAATAGTTAAAGTGACTGGATAGTTGAGACTAAATTGCACCCCAGTCACTCTGTGTAAAATCAGCTTGGAAACTACTGAGCAGCAAGCATTGGCATTCCACCATGTAGAGACCGTCGTTTAAAATACAGAAAGCTTTAAAGAATTTTGGGAAGTGTTCTATATGGGGAAACACTAAAAATACATATTTTGTTTAAAAAGTCACTTCTAGACTGTTCTGCAGCAGACTTAATGGTAGTCTGGCTCTTACAGTATTTCTGCCCTCTCTTATATGTTGTTCCCTGAGCCATAGATGCAGGAACTGGGATATAGGTGTATCCACTGGGGCTGCTGGGATCTGTGTGATTTATTGATGTCTGGATTGTATCCAGTTGTGATTTTAGGTGATGGTATCCATTTACTGTAAAAAGCAGTTCCCTGGGACTAGAGAGATGCCCTAGCAGTTAAGAGCACTGGCTACTTTCCAAAAGACCTAGGTTAGACTACAAATACCCACATGGCACCTCACAGTTATCTATACCTCCAGTTCCAGGGTATCTGATACCCTCTTCTGTTCCCCATTGGCACAGGCATGCATGTTATGCACAGACATACATGGAGTCAAAACACTCAGGCACCCAAATAAAATGAAGTAAATCTTAAAAGAAAGAGGGAAGGAGAACTTCTTTGATGAGAGTTGGTAGCTACATTTATCTCTGAGTATAAAGATAAGATTTAGAATGTAGGAGGTCTACCAAACTTGTAGTAGTAGATTTTCTTCTAAGATGCATGATCTCATTAGTCAAGGGAAGCTGGCTAGGTGTCTAGCACCAGCATGATTTCTTACCTGTTGAGAGGGTCTTCATTCCAATTAGAAAACTAACGGTTATCACCAATGTGAAGTGCCACTTACTGCACCTTTATGAATATCTTGCCAAAGTCTTCTTGTGAAACAGTCTCTCATAGAAATGGCTGTATAAACAGGATTTGAGCAATGGCAAGACTAATAGCCACATTAGTGAGGAAGGGGAAATCTCAGGGGAACACTCCCTTGGACAAGGAACTACAGGCAACTCATGCTGCTGAGAAAGGGAGAGTTAGTCTCTCCTAGGGTTGAGGAGCCTAATTGTCCACTACGAAGTATCAGCCCTGAAAGCATATTCACACAAACAATAATAACAGACGCATCAGGTTGAATTCATATATCTGTGCAAACATGTATGTAAGTATCCATCTACCTATCTATCTATTATCTAACTATCTATCTATGTAAGAATAATAATCAGAAAAGAAAATACTATCAATTTGAAAGTAGAGGGTCATTGAAAGAGTAGAGGGAGGGGATTTGAGAGTTCATGGAAGGAAATGGAAGGGGAAATTATGTAATTATATTTTATTTAAAATGAATAAAAATTTTAAATAAATAAATGAACCCAGGGATTCATGTGTAGCTCAGTGTAGACATTTGCCTGATATATAAGTAGGCAAATTACAACCCTCTTAGGAGGGATGAGGGGAGCAAAATGATGTGAGTAAGCTGACCCTAGAATGTATGGTTAAGTTTCTCTATTTTCTGTTTGATATTTGTGACTCCTAAGCATTGAAGGAATTCTTAGTAGTTACACTAGCAACTGCACCCTTGATCCACATGCTCTTATATCAAAACCTCTCCATGATGGACTGCTTAAAAATAAAGTCCAGAATTTATGTGCATTCAACAGATCCTAATTTGTTCTGATTCACTCAGTGTTTGGGGGACAAAAGATACAACTTCTTTGGAGCTTTCTCCAAAGTACTGAGGAACCTGGTACTTTGAGTATTGTCGCTATATCAAACTTAATATTCTTATATTTATTAAAGTGCAGCCCATAGCCAATAATATTTCACTGTTAGAAATCTGGAAGACAAAGTCGCTTTGATGAACACCCTTTAACAAATCAAGATAATCTTACTAAACTCATTAATTTCTTGGGTTGATATATTAAAAGCACTTTGGAAAAGAGAACTAAAATTTATATTCAGATTAATATCTTCAGTGTTATATGTGATTATGAAATCCAGGTGACTCCTGCAAGATAAATAATTCATCACATTGTAAACTGAGTGTCCAGTCTTTGGTGGAAAAATATTTCCAGTTTAAAGAGTGTCTTTGTATTGATGACCTCCACTGTACAGTGAACAAACTTTTTGGAAAAAAATGCATCAATCAGACAGGTAATATTTGCTCAATCAGCTCTTTATTTCAAACCTAGATCCTCCTCAGTCATTGTGCATTCATTTGTTGTAGTACATTCATAGTATTTAAGTTGCTAATATTTTATTGATATGAGTTCAAGCAGGGTAATGACATATTTTCTTATGCTATTAATTCTGTTATATGTCTAATGCTGGCTGTTAAAACTAAATTGGAAAGTACTTTCTTTTCTATATTCTACAACAGTACAGAAATAATTGATACTCTTTCTTTGTTCAATTACTGGTTTAAACAGTACTATAGCTGCAAAATTCATCATGTGATATATAAAACTATAAATTAGTATGATTCATTGTTATGGAATTGGCCTAGTTTCTAGGTCATGAGTGAGATTTTATAGTTTGTCTTCCATTCTCTGTATTTTCATTATAGTGTTTGTTTTTTCATGTGACTCTTTATGACTTCTATCTCTGTAGATCTCTGAATATGGTACTCTTGGTGTTCTCTGGTTGTTATTTTGATATCTGTAGAAGGGGTGTGTATGTTTCTCATATTTGGTAGGGTTTATTTGACTATAAGTTGTCCTTATTTTCAACTTTTGTAACAAAAAAATTGATGGTAAGTGCTCAACTGTAGATGAATCATCTGTAACTCCTCCCCCCCCAAAAAAAAATCAAGGTTCAGAAAACACTGAGATAGGAAGAGTACAAAGACTGTAAGTGCATGAGATTGGGGAGGAGGTGTGAAATGCTGTCCTCTAGACATGATATGATTTAGCTGATGTCCAAGTCAACCCCCACAAGCCATAGTTGCTTGCACAAGACAAAGCCATTCAAAAAATTCAGCATGGGTAGGAGAGGAGCTCCCAAGGTCCCACCCATAGCAGAGAAACTACTGACATTTGATTACTAACAAGGGAGGGAGAATCACGTTTGTTTGGATATAGTTGAGTAGGTTGTCCATGTCCCATGGATGTTTCCATACCCATTTCTCAAGTAGCATCAATTTGACTCAGTGGAATAATAATAATAGTAGTAATAATAATAGTGGTAATGACAAAAGAATAAAGAAGAAGAAATAGTGTCTGGAGTGAGACAATTTGGTGGATCTTAGGGGAAGTTAGAGAAACCTATAGCAGGTGGATATGATCAAAATAAATTGTAAATATGTATCAAAATTTCAAATAATAAATAAAATATATTTTTAATTATAATAATACAACATAATACAAAAATAAGAAAAATGCCTTTGCACTCAGTTTTAGGTCATTTAATATGGAATCTTGAATGAATTTGCTCTTTGACAATTTACATAGTTCTTTTTCCATGAGGGCAAAAGCAGGACACATTTGCAATCAGATCAAAGCAAAACTAAACTCCAACAGTGTAACTATTTCAATGTCCCAGTGTGGGATTTATTCACAGTCTTCTGACCTCCAACTGGCTTGGGAAGCTCCACATCTTTGGCTCTGCCATCCACAGAACACACAGTTCATCTTGTAGGCTTACTCCAAACATACTGCTGTTTTTGGTGGACATCTCATGGTCCTATCATCTCTAATATCCTTGAGTATCCACTGTTCCTCCATAAATAGCCTTTTGGCCTCTCTGAAGGAATTTTGACCCCCAGTACTTGGTGACAAAACTCAGCTTCTCTGCATGGCCCCATCAATCCGCTTCAACTTAAGCTAAACCTTTACAAATGGCCTCCTGGCTTCTCTGAAAGGATTCCATTATATCCACATGGTGCCAAACCTCAGCTGCTCTCCATGACTGCTTCATGCTTCCAAAACCAGCACCATGTGGTAGCCTCTTACACATTACCAAGCTCAGCTGTCTTCATGAGATGTAACCTTTGCTCCCCTCAACTACAGCCTCTGTGTGCTGGCCCTGAGGAAACACTTCTCAGAAGAGTTCACTTGAATGTCCTTGCAAATTATCTTCTTTACACTTTTAATGTATAGTTCATTTAGACTGTTGTTAATTCTCAGATACCCAAGATTTCCTAGAAACCTCTCTTGTTGATCTCTAGTTTAATTCTAAAGCCAAGAAACCTATTTCAGACAATCTCAATTCCTAATTAAAGTAAAAAGTTTTTACAGTGTGCTGTGTTCTACATGATAGCCATGCAGCCATCCACAATGGCCATGCACAGAGAGTACTTGACATCATAGCAGAGGAAATAATTATGACTTCAAACACTTCATAGAACTGCTAGCAGTTAGGTGAACTGGCTCCTTGGGGAAGGAAAAAGAAATAAATGTTGCAACCAGAGGCAATAAAATGAAGCAACAACCATTTGAGGAACAACACATGCTGTGTTGTGCTGCATTGTAAGAGAAGCATCTCAAGATGATTCGAGAAAGAAATCAAATGTTATAATTCGGGAACGTTGGACTTGCCTTCCTAAAGAGATTAGATTTGATGCTTTGCTATGAGGAGCTGCTGCACATTTTAAAAAGACAATGTTGCACAATTGACGTTTTAAAAAGTTATCTCCAGGGATTAGAAAAGAATGAAAAGAGAGTGAGAGATCATCCATCTCTAAACTAATGAGAGGTGACACATTTTCAAAAGAACGAAATAGTCCTGAAAATATAAGATACACTTCAGTGGAAAAATTATTAACTATAATCTTGAGGACTTGGTGACCAGCTAAAAATGAATGTAAAAGAATATAAAATCATGAAGAATAACATTTGCTAGCAAAATATCACAATCTAATTAAAGAACCCAGAAGTTGCCAATGTGATGGAAAGCTTTGTAGCACAAGCACAGTGTGCTACTGTAACACCCACCCTCTCTAGCCACTCTTCCTTTCTTCCCCTTAGCCTCCTCCTCCCTACAAGTTCTTTTCTACCATTCATACCATTTTCTTCTATCAATAGGGGGAAAAAACCTACAAACTATCAAATTTCAAAACCCAGAAAAAAAAAAGACAGAGAAAATAGTCAACCGTTATAGATGTGAGAATCCAGTACAACAGGGTATGGAATTTGGACAAGCCAGGCAACAGAACCCTTCTATCGATGACCTGCAGGTGGAAATCAAAGTGGTCCCTCAAGCGCATGTCATCATGGACTATTTGAGGGTTGCAGTTCCAAAGAGCACCTAACAGACTGCCTACAATTCAGCTTACAGAAAAAAGGGACATGACAGCTTCAATCTCATGTTCATTCTGTTCCAGTCCCATCACTCTCTGCAAACCCTTTGATCACACTGCAGAAAAAAATCTCATTCTCTTTCCTTGGCATCAATAAAACACTCCCCGGCTTACATAAACCTACATGTTTAAGTTTGGACATTTTTGATTATGGCAAAGTTTCCAGAATAGTATCTGAAACTTAATACACTATTATGAAGTGTATTGTATAAACACTTAATTTCTCAAATAAAGTTTGAACAGCAAAATCACATATTCATTTATAAAATAGATTCAATTAATATAGGTTGATATATCATAATCCCTGGTGCAATGGACATAAAGCTGAGTAAAACTACTTAATAGCTAACATAGAGTAAAACAGATATTTAGTAGGATGATGGAATGTAACCTGACGTATTTTATATACATATAGTTATAGCTGATACATATAATAGTACAGATTGATGTTTAGGTAGATGTAAAGCTTATTAGAAAATATTTAATGACCAACATAAGAGGAACTAATTACATGAGGGCTGCCTCATTTACATATATTTCACAATACGTGCCCGGGCTTGCCAGCTAACATGGTCTCTGTTCTTATTACAGAATCTGACTTACAGCAATTTATGGTGAGCTCTTATTTGAAAAGTACTTGACTGCTACAATAGTGTGTGGTTTCAAAACATATTCTAGAGTTATAACTATGGACAAATTTTTATAATGATACCATAAGTCGATTGTAAGTAAACATTTTCATAGCATGAAGTTAGTTATATGGTGTTTATCTCATATGCATACAAAGCATTTGAAAAAATGAAACTGTGAGGAACACTTATGTTATAAAACCAATAAAAGAAAACTTAAAAAATAAATAAGGGCAGCATAATCCACTAGAAAAAAAGACCCTGAAGGAATTCTAATGTCCCTGAGGTGCTCACTCTGGAGGTCATATGAAGTACCTCAGATGAACACAAATGTTTTAGAAACAGACCCCAAAGCCCATGCTAAGGGACCCAGAGCTTTCTAATGAAGTTGCATTTCTCATCTTCTTTCTATGGAATGAAAGTCATGTGAGTGACTGACTCTATGTTCCAAGGGATGAAAATTGCTCCTTGAGTATGGAAAAATTACTTTATTATGTGTAAAAGCAAAATGTAAATTGTAAATGTGTATATATTTTAGTTTATCTTGTTGTGTGAATGGATAAATATGTGTGGAATTAAATTGGATGAGGAGCTAAGGTAATTAGGAAAGAAAACACCTTAAGGAGTATAATGAGGGAAAAAGAAAAACATCTGAGAAGGCTCTCAGTAAAGGGACATTTCCAGAAGGAAATAAATTTTTTTAAATTTATATGAGAGTGTATTAAATTTACAGATTTAAATTAATTAAAATTGTAGCAATTATCAAAATGCAATGAAGACAAAGTATCTCTCAGAGAAATCCAGTTCTAATACTGCAATTGAAATCTTATGTGTCACAATTCCAGCCAGATTGAGAATTTATGTCAGAGTATTTTTACATTTTTTTTTTTTTTTGGTTTTTGAGATCGGGTTTCTCTGTATTTTTATATTTTATACTGAAAAGTTGTACTAAATTGTTTATATATTGGTCAAAAAAAGAAAGCGTATGTGTCTATTTTCCTAAATTTTAGATAATTTGAAACAGATCCATTAAAATAATTTTCCAATATTTTTGAAGATATTGAAATATCTATAAAATGTGTCTATATTCATAAAAAGGCATTAAAGAGTTTATGAGCACATAAAGAATAAATGGATGTGCTCTTAAACCATTCTTTTACTTCATTCATAGAGGAGTCAACACTGCCCTCTGATTTGGTGCCACGGTCAAATGTCACACAAGGGTTCCTGAGGGAAGATACATTTTTAACAGCTGAAAGGAAGGATGACTGTGTCGCAGCAGCAGAGGCCTGCCAGGAATCTGTGCACTGCTCTCTGCTCCATGAGAACTTTAAGAAAGCCTGTGGCAAGGGAACAGCACAATGCCACACCCTTAGTGGTCAACAGTTCTGTGTGGCCCTAAGAGAGAGCCTGAGAGAGACAGTTTTGTGGGATTGTCAGTGCGGTTTCCCTCTAGAAGGAGACTGCATTCGAATTTGGAAAGGCTTGTTTGAAGACATTTGCATAGAGGATACTCAAATCAATCAAATTGCCACCTTCAGTCAAGACAACGAAGATAGACTCAAGGAGGACATTGCTTCAGGTTGGTATTTAAAGGAATAATTTAAGAACATTTAACATAATCATAAAAAAGAGTTAACTAAAGAATGCTTAATTTCTGGTTCTATTTGTCATTGCAACCTGAAGGTTAATATTGAATTTCTCTTGGAAATTAAATGGTTGTAAATCTCCATACAATAACGATAGACAAAGTGTATCAGGAAGAATCAATCAATGTGACTTAATTTGTTAGCATATTGTCAACTTTATTTATTCACTTATTCATTGCACAAATGCCTAGGAAATACTTACAATGTGTTAGATATATGTAGTGAAAGAAGGAAATCTGTCCTTCATTGGAAAAGAATGCTATATTCTAAAGAAAGTTAAAAAATAAAAAAACAGTCAGGTGTAGTGGCAGGAGGCCAGAGGCAGGCAGATCTCTGTGGAGTTCAAGGCCAGTCTTGTCTACAGGGTGAGTTCCAGGAAAGCCAGAGCTACATAGTGAGATGCTGTCTCAAAAATACAAAAACAAAATACAAAAAAAGGAAACAGATAAAACATGGTAAGAGATAGTCATTCATTTAGTGTCTCTACCTTCCCATGAAAAGTTCTAAACCCTTGAGGTAAATGAGCAAATAAACAAAACTGACTGCTCTCCAGGTTCTTGCATTCTCAAAGAAGGAGTTTCTTGTTCCACTTTTCTGAGAAACAGGTTGTGAAGCCAGGTTGCCTGTACAATACTGAGATTAATGTTTAGCAGAGAAAGTCATAGGAAGGAACACATAGAATTTGATAGGGATGCTGAAATGCATTGTGGTTGCCACAAGAACTTGATTGCTTGCCCACAACACTGGACTTGCAAACTTTCTCCCATTAAGGCAAGGGACTAACACTTTGTCCTCCTCTTGCTGATCTCTAATGGATATGAGTGAAGATGGTCTAGGTAAGTCAGCAACCTTTTGGGTAAACGCTATACCACAAAAAGCACCAGTTAAAGGTGAGCTCTGACCCAACTGTCCTCATGACTACTATGAGACTTTAATGTTGGATGACCGACCGATATAAAAAAACATTAGATTCTGAATATGTTTATATTCGTGAATCACATGGGAATGAATGAAGCTGTTCATAAGGTTTTTTGTTTTGTTTTGTTTTGTTTCTCGAGTCACTAACTCCAAAGACACCATGGTCATTCCTTTCATTAACAAGGATGGTTCCTGGAAGAAAAGGCATTAGTGGGGGACAGAGGAGGTATCCAGATCCAGATGTGTACATTTTGAGTCTACAATGTTTCCTAGATATCCAAATGATGATCTCAAGTTCTAAGTATGAAATTTATTTTTGATTCCACGTATGGCATAGGGACATGAGATTTACACAGAAGGCGAAAACTGAGAGGAAGAGATCATTCATTCATAAATCATAAGCCCATTGGACTAATCAAGATTAACAACAAAATAGTTTATGGTGTCTTAGACCAGAATGGTAGTGGGTGAGCTGATGCCAAATTCCCAAACTATTGTTACAAGTGGGTCAACAAGAGAAGAATGCAGAAGTTGATACAATTAATAAAAACACCCTGCCTGATTCCACAGGGAAAAGTCAGCAGTCATCCATTGACAAGCAGGGAAGCAGGCTGGAGAAGAGCCAGGCTTCAGTACACTGAGGCACTCTCTTCCCCAGGTGATTCTTTTAGTTCACTTTGAGGATCTTGTTTACATTTAATATTAATAGAAAAGAAGTCTTCTGTAATATTTAATTTGATTTATCATCTTACAGAAATGTATCTATTAACTAATTATAAGCATATTTTATGAGATTATAACATTTAAGTCAAATATTTGCAAGCAGTTAGCTCCACATGCTGTCATGTTAAGGAAGAGAAGACAAATGGGAGTGATTCTGACACAAACTTAGTAAATGCTTTGTAGTTTTTGTTGTTTGTATATGATTGTATAACTCAAGTACAAGTCTGCTTGGTGCATAATTTTTTTTAGCCCCAGAACAAACTGTCTTTTAACTATCATTCAATAATGAACCTACTGTTGAAAATATCCTCTTAGAGAAATACGTGCATAGATATATATACAAATGTAACATATACATATCTAAAATGACATGAGGTTTGCATCTAATATACAGATATTTTATTGTACTGCATTACACGAGACATACAGAAATAAAATACCATCTGAAATGAAGTTCATTTTTTATACTAAAAGTAAATATTTTGTTGTTTGGGTGATAACTGCTCACACAATGAGTTGGTTGTTCTATTCAGGCTGGGAAAAAAGCCCCATAGAGCAAATAATCTGGAGGGAAGAAACTTTATGTCTCACAGTTTGGAAACAAAAAGCCCAGATAGGCAAATGGGATCTTCTCCCTCCTTCCTTAGCCTCTTGCTATGTCCTTATGTGACCCTTTCTTGATGTGTGAGAAATCAGGCACTAGGGAAATGTCTGGAGAGCTACAAAGATGACACCAACTAACAATCTAAGCAACAGAGGAGAGGCTACCTTAAATGCCCTTCCCTGATAATGAGATTGATGACTAACTTATATGCCAGTGTATAGCCTTCATCCAGCAGCTGGTAGAAGTGGAAGCAGACACCCACAGCTAAACCTTGAACTGAACTAAAATCCAGTTGCAGAGAAGGAGGGCTGATGAGCAAAGGGCTCATACCAGGCTGGTGAAATCCACAGAAACAAGCTGACCTGAACAAGGGAGAGCTCTTGGTTCTCAGACTGATAGCTGGGAAACCAGCATGGGACTGATCCAGACCCCCTGAATGTGGGTGTCAGTGAGGAGACTTTGAAAATCTATGTTGCCTCTTGTAGTGGATCAATACTTATCCCTAGCATAGGAATGGACTTTTCGAGCCATCCACATGGAGGGATACTCCTAAGCCTAGATACAAGGGGGTGGGCCTAGGCCCTATTCCAAAGGATACACAGACTCTGAAGACTCCCTATGGAAGGCCTCACCCTTCCTGGGGAGCAGAAAGGGTATGGGATAGGTAGGATGTTAGTTGGGGGAGAGGGGCAAGGGAGGAAGGGAGGGAGAGGGACCTGGATTGACATGTAAAATAATCTTCTTTCTAATTAAAATTAAAAAAAATAAAAAAAAAGAATGGGTGTGGGAGAGAACAAAAGAAGCATATGGTGACTCTTCTTTTAAGAACAGTAAGCCACCCAATCAGACCCAGTTCCCCACCATTATGACATTATTTGTCCCTCACAGATTCCTTAAAAACCCCATATCCACACACACATACACTTGGGGTTGTAGCTTTAACATTTATGTTTGGAAAAACAGAGCATAAACATTTAGTTGATAACAATAAAGGGCTTATAAAAAAATCTGGTGGGTCAAGGGTAGTTTCTTGAATATGTTTTAGTCTATAGCACAAACTTGTCAGTTTGTCCAAATAGTGGTGTTTATCTGTATTAGTAAGTCTGTGTTTGTACTTCAGAAAACCTGTATTACTCACTGAAATCTTGTTTGCTTGTTTTTCCATTCTTTGGAATTAATATGGGTGTTAAATAAAATTTTTATTTTAATTTTAGTACCATGGCAATAGAAGTCAGCTCTTCCTCAGAAAGACAAGAGGTTGAATCCCAGAAGAAATGATGATTCTTTACCTAACTGATAGAAAAATAGAATTACGCAGTAACAACAGCTAGGGCAGAGCAGAGTTGGACACACAGCACTGAAAGCGCTTACCTATGGTAGTACAATTGTTGCTCCAGTGGACTGATGAGCAAGGAGCACAGACAGCCCAACAAGGACAAGTTTAGTCATGAGAGGATGTTTACATAAGAAAGAAGTTGGTGTCTTAGGAACAATTGTGAATTAAGTACATTAATTAAATTTTTAAAATGAAATTCTGATCATATTGCTTTCCTTAACATTCTTTGCACAAGTCTGTTGTTGCGTTTTGTATTTTGTGTTGGCTTTAGTGGTGTTTATTTCCTAGAAAGCCGTGGGATATCAGTGATGACTACTGCATACTTCTATTATCAAATATACCACCTGGTACCTAGTCAAAACCCAACTAATGTTTATCAAATTGAAGACTCTGTCAAGGAAATTTTCTAATTCTATCTTTATGAATCCTAAAATTCTTAGAGACTAAGAAAATAGAGGTGGAAATTATTTTAAAATTGTATTTCAACCTGATTTATGATCCTGTTGGTATGGAAATTTCTTTTCCTTTATTTTTCTTTCTCCCTTCCTCTCTTTTGTTCAGAAAATATTCCTTCTGTTCTTTTTGCTTCAGATCTTTTTTTTTTTTTTGCTTCACTTTTACATAGTCTAGTCATCAGCACTAACTTATATCTTCAAGTAACTGAATCCACAAAACAAAGCCCTTTTCAATTTACTTGCATGGTTTTTCTTCATCTATTTCTCAATTTTAAGTATCAAGGGTTAAATAAGTGTTATACATGTTTGTACATATTTGGTTGACTATTCATTCATAACTTCTAAGACATTTTTAAAACTCTTCAATGGTGAAATAGTTTCTTGTTTTCTTTCTAGATAACCTGAAAAAGGATAATAAATTCAAATGGGATCTGACTACTTTACATCACGGTAACGTGTATAAACTATCATTTTTATCTACAGTGTAAAAACTGGATGACATTATTTAAATATTATTATCAGGGCTCTCAATGATATGCTGATACAAAACAACTTGTGACTTTTTAAAGGTTGCAGTAGAAGCATGATGCAAAATCATGACATTCTTTCCAGCAAAGATTATGAAACCAACTGTTTTGCCCTTCTGTCATTATTTGTAGATATTTTGAGAAGTATTCTTACATTGAAACAAATGGTTAGGTAAATTTTGAGTAGATTTTAATCATACAAGCCAACGGTTTGCGTATACCTGCAGTGATGGCAGAGGCAACACTCAGTACATATACTCATTGAAATATGAGCATCTTTATAGGCAGCAATTACTGTGTAGCACTTTTGTTCAGAATTTTTTATCCATTCCCAATTAACTGTGATAGAACAATGATTTTGACTCGTGACCATGAGCTCACAATAAATTACATTGTTCACATTCTTTTTCTGAAGATTTGTTGCTTGTTTTTAAGAAACTTATTGGCAGAGATTTTTTTCCCCTAAAGCTCCACTTCGGTCCTCTCCATTCCCCACCACTCTGTATTACAACACATAGTATTTGTAAAAGATGATTCAAACATTGCACTCTCAAGCCTCACTAAATTTATAATTTTAAAGAAACCATAGCACCCTGTTACACTTTTGTACTCAGCTTATTGAATTCCCAGAGTTTTATTTGCAGGCTCTCTATATACAACCTTATGCTTATTTTTCTATGACCTGGGCATTTTATTGCTTTCAGGATTCAGACAGATGCAGTCTTGTTTGGAAGTGACAGAGGCATGCGTAGGGGATGTGGTTTGTAATGCACAATTGGCCCTTTACCTTAAAGCATGCTCAGCAAATGGAAATCTGTGCGATGTGAAACACTGCCAAGCAGCCATACGGTTCTTCTATCAAAATATGCCTTTTAACACTGCCCAGATGTTGGCTTTTTGTGACTGTGCTCAATCTGATATACCCTGTCAGCAGTCCAAAGAAACTCTTCACAGCAAGCCATGTGCACTGAACGTAGTTCCACCCCCCACTTGCCTCAGTGTAATTCACACTTGCCGAAATGATGAATTATGCAGGTGAGTAAAAACACACATACCTTGCTTTCTTATTTCGGCACCTTATTTATTATAGTCCAATCCTAACATTTGATCTCCTTCCATTGCTGGAGTTCCCACCATCATCCAAAATGGTGTAAATAAAGCCAGACAATTCCCATTGTGAATCTGTGGTACATGTGTGGTATCCTTTTTGAAATTCAAATGAAAAATGCAGAGTATGATTTTACAATAAAGAAACACACCATGTTGAACTTTGATAGCCTGCATATCATATTTTTAAAGATCTTATTTGTCATGTGTGTGTACATGCACACATGCATGACCATGCAAGTACATGTAGCCAACAATTTTCATGAGTTGGTTCTCTTCTTCCATCATGTGGGTCCTACAGTTTGTCAGGCTTTTTTGAAATTTTCTTCCCATCCTTATCTATCCCACTGGTCCACAAAAATCTGCTTTTTAATTAATTAGACTTTTTTACTCATGTGACTACAGAATCTTTGTTGTTGTTTGGGTTTTGATTGTTTTAGATAAGTTCTTCCTTTGTATACCAGGGTAGCCTTGAGTTGACAACCCTTCTGCCTCAACCCACTGAGTACTGGGTTCCCAGGCTGCCAGGTTACCAACACATGTGGCCTGTTGTGTTGAAACATGCTGTTAATTTTGCCAAGGTGACTCTTCAAACTTTAGAGTAAATGCTTTCTTTCTCAGCCTCAGTTCTCAGAGGAACAAGGTACTCCTGAGTATGGCGTAGGCATTCCCAGCATAGCTGTGTGCTCCATGTCAGAAATGTATTCTTTTCCCCTCTTCCCATCCTCGTGCTGTCTGTTAGGAAGAAAAGAAAAGCTAGTTGTTTATTTGTTCATTCAAATTGTACATGAGTCAGGCACCTATCTAGGCCTCAGTTAGGTATGTCTGTCTTGCCGTTTACTAGAGTCAAAGGAGACAGTTAATAAGGAATGTTTACCATATAAAGTTATGAGTGTATTTCAGATGAAAAGAGGTTGGAGGGAGGAAAGTGATACTGTTTAGAGGTCTGGACTGAGTTCATTTTCTCTACCAGTTAAAGAATTAAAGGTCAGGGAAAATCTTGAGCCCAAAAAGTAGCAGCAGGGAAATCTCAAGCACCACAGACAGAATTGCCATTAAGGAAAGGTGTTACTTGGGATATGGAAGCACACACATGTAGCAGACACACATAGAGAAAGGCCCTATGCTAAGCAGAGGAGGGACTCTGGAAGCTAAAAGCCTCCAATCTCTTCTTGAATACTGTTTTTTTTTTGTTGTTGTTGTTGTTGGTTTTTTTTTTTTTTTTTTTTTGCCTCTAAAGAGGTTTCTGCTCTTAATTTAGAGTTGATCAGTTTGAAGAAGCCAGCCATCTTTAAATTTACCATGGCCTGTCTCCCTATCTGTCTGGCTACCAGGGAGTCTAACTCCTACTCTTTCAAAAGGGAAGGGAGAAATGTCATAAATTACAGCCTCAAAAACAAGCAAAGAAGCCTAAGAAGTAGACTGAAAAAGTTGTAACATAAGGAATGTTCCCCAAAGCAGTGTTTGACCTACCAATTGAAAGAAATGCCTGAGTAGTTATCTTAAGTCACTACCTGAGAGAACACAAACCAATCCAACAGGCAAGATAAGGCAATGGCATTAAAGCACATGCCACCTTCTGAAGAAGTACTAGAGGAGGAAAGCAACATATAATGAAGCCAGAAATTAAACAGTGTAAGGCACCAGGGCTCAAGGGCTACTGCCATGGAGAGGCTCTTGCAGATTTGAGCAACATTGTGAGTGATCTGTTTCCTCTGCTAAAACTTTTGTTCTAGCTGCTAGCTGATGTCCAACCATCCTGTGCAGGTACTCATGCTTAGGAACCTCCAAGGAGTTCAGTATGTCTGATTCTTGTTTTCTCGTTGAGGTTTTCATTGGCACTTGTGATTTTTATGTTCATTGTGAATTTATCTTTCCAATGGTCAGAAACACATGGGTATGTAGACAGTTTGGGACATGAGTAAGAAATGCAGGAAATAATGAGAATATGGAAGGAACTGAGAGGGTGTTTTTACAGGTAGTCCCCACTGGTCTTACACTAGGTCTTTCTGCTCAAGCCATGAGATTAAAGATTGTCATGTGCCACTATGTCTAACTTTTTGTAATCTCACTTGGTGGGGGTGGGGATGAATGGTTACAGTCAGTGTCCAAGCTAGGTTCAGTCATTTGACCTTAATAAGTCAGTTAAAGGAGTCAAGTTAATACTGGAAAACAAACAAAAAGGAGACTTAGTTAATTTGGCCTCACTAGGAAGAGGAGAGAATAGATCCAGTGAAACTCCCTACTTCCAAGTTCATCTTGGGGGAGCTGAACTGATATTAAATTTTAAGTAGAAAACCAAGGGTTTGCATGTCTAAGAAGCTCCAATCAAGCTGTCTCCCCACACACAACTAACCCATCATTGTCTGGGCTTCAGTCTCATCTGATAAGGTGACTGGACAGGTTGCTAGAAATTGTGAAATCTCTGTGAGTTCAAGGCCAGCCTGGTCTACAGAGATAATTCCAGGACAGCCAGGACTGTTACACAGAGAAACTCTGTCTTGAAAAGAAAAAAAAACCCAAGATATTTTGAGATATCTTTGGGGGAGACAGCCTTAGTTCTTGCTGTCCAAGAAAAAAACTCAAAATAATTCTGTAAATTCTATTTGGTATAATTAGGAGCATGGAAAAAGAATTGTGTAGGAAAACTGGATTGGCGGTGCCTCATTTGAATTTTCTTGGTGGGGGACAGTGTCTAAATGTTAGCTCCAAAATCATATGAGGTTTAAAAGTTTTTTTTTAAATAAACTTCTAATAAAGTTCATACTGCAAATCATCACCCATTGTGATAAAAATAGAAATAAGGGAAATTCTCATAGAAGGACGGTAATTTACAGTTTCTCTTTTTTTGTTGTTTTGTTTTGTTTTTGTTTTTGTTTTCTCTTTGCACATTCCCTATAGTAACAGTGAAAGTACAAAGTTAGCTTTGTACTGGGACCTAGAACTCATCATGCCCATGCCAGTGTTTCACTAGGTGAAGGATAATCACATATTGTCATGAAATCACTCTATTCATAGGCTAATTCCAGTTCTTCAATTTTTCTCTAGAACACGCTATCAAACATTCCAGTCAGAATGCTGGTTCCATGTGATGGGAAAGTGCCATGAGGATGAGACCTGCATCGGCACATTAGGCAAGCAAGACCTTATTTGTTCTGGTAGTGATAGCTGCAGGGCTGCCTACCTGGGAACCTTTGGGACAGTCCTCCAAGTGCCATGTGCTTGCAGGAGTATCACACAGGATGAAGAACCTTTGTGCATGACTTTCCAGCACATGCTTCAGAGCAAATCGTGTTTCAGTAAGTTACCCAATTAAAAGATTGTATATCTATATACATATATATCTTGTTTTCTACTGCAACGAAAAAAAAAAAAATAGCAATCCAGGCAACCACCACCAAAATGCTCATAAAGACGATTTGCATTTACTATTTGCTTTTTTCTCATTTATCAGAAGGTGACATACTTTTTAAATTGATAAGTTACCAATGATTGCCATTTCTTGATTTTAATATGAAAAGCGTAAAAGGCTTCATTTACATGCAGAAAATATCCTTATTCCAAGTTATGTAACAACAGCCCGGCTCCAAACATTGACCTCAAATCGTTAACCATTTAGTCATTTACTTAAATAGTTATATACACTGGCCTTGGGTGTATTGTACTGACACTTTTGTCTAGATTTGATCATGTATTGATAATACCTCATGATTCCACTGAGACTGGATTAACCAAGATGGCATTTAGTAAACATTGCTGGCTAGTACAGCATAGTTCTCCTCTAATGTTCCCTTTAGCAATGTAGCCTGTGATGGCTACATAATGCAGCAGAACTCCTAGGGACTAAAACCAGATATACAGGTATTTATCAAGTATCTCCTACTGGCATACTGTAAATACACCAGTGAAGCAAGTCACATGATAATCTCAGAAATACCGTGTGAACAAGCTGCAAGAGGATGAGGATACTACATCCTCTTGATGTCAAGATGGGCTCAACAGAGTTTATTGATTTAAAAATCTATGATTTAAGCTGTCCTGCCTGTGAAGTAGATCTTTCCTTAGATTTGTTCCTCTTCCCCCTTGGACTTAGCAAATCTACTGATCACCCTCTAGTGATAAGATGGAAAATGTACATATATTTTTTAGGTTAATCTTTAATATAGGAAAAAGAAAACTGAAATTTATGCCTGGGGCTTAGTTAGGGTTGAGTACACTGGCATCACTCTCTGGAGATTCTCAAGCTGTTTTGTGAAAATAGCTCAGAAGAGCTTGCAGCTTCAGCTCATGTGTGTTTCTGTCTGTTGTCATCCCACTCTTGCCAGTGACAGTCAGTTTTCCAGAGAATGAGCTGTCTCTACCTGGTGCCCTTAGTCTTGCATCCATCTAGTCCAAAGAAGTTGCCTGTGCTGTGTTTGTTGTTTCAGCACCTTGCCCTCGTACACACTGATCTATGCACTAGATTTGATGTGGCTTTTGTAATTGGAGGGATTGTGCCACTGCTCAGTCTTATTACTCTTGTCCTACAGTCAACTTTACTCAATATTAGAGAGTTCATATTTTAGTCCCTCTCCTCTCTGATGAAAACTAATGAGTTCCTATCTCATCACCATTCTTTAAAAAAAAAATTTTAAAGAATATATTTATTTACTATATATACAACATTCTGCCTCCACCTATGCCTGCACTCCAGAAGAGGGCACCAGATCTCATTAGGGATGGTTGTGAGCTACCATGTGGTTGCTGGGAATTGAACTCAGGACCTCTGGAAGAGCAGCCAGCACTCTTAACCTCTAAGGCATCTCTCCAGCCCAAGGCACCATTCTTGTTGGAAAACCTCACATGATGCTAATGTAGAATAATCAATTTATAATGTCATTCATGCTGTGTAGTAAAATGTCCTCTCTGAATTATGGATTGTTTGCATGTTAAATCTCCCTTTCTTGTTGTACAGAATTACTGATCTCTGTATGAAGGCTGTCTATCTTCCTAGACACCAGTAGGCATTTCCCACCCACCTGACTGCTCCATATACCTACATATTTCCAGTTTATACTGTGGCAATTCCCTTCTTCAATCTGCCTATTTTTATACGGGTATCTATATGACCAACTCCTTTGACTCATAAAACCAAATATCAGTAGATTAACACAATGTTTAATTCCTTACCAACATAAAATAATTACAAAGAGAAAAATTGGGATGAGAATTGAAGATTATTGAAATTTAGATGTTACCAAGCTATTCCTACTAGGTGGCTGAATTCTTCTGAGTTCATAGAATCCATTCAACTTATCCACCCTGCTAATTAAGAATGCAAAAAAATTGTTCTGGATACTTTGGTAGGTCAGTCCTAAGTACCTTGTACATCACTTTCACTTTTATTTATTTTCAAGGGAAGCTGGGAAACACCATTCATATCTGTGCCTGGTATGAAGGGAAATGGATTTTGATGCATATATAACCAATTTCTGCCACTGTATCTCCAACAAAATATATAAAGCTATGCCTCCCTAATACTGATCCAATGTATTTATCATTATGCTGGGAAGTACAAATTTATGTTTGAATATGTCTGCCACATATGGCAGAATACAAATCATAGAGCAATGGATTATGGGTAATAGTCTATTACTTTTGAAGAACAGGAGCAGTCAATATTCTACACAAATATTTTAATGTGTGGTTTTCTTCTAATTCATTGAACTAAAACTTGCTTTTTTTGGATCTCTCTACAATGATGTATATAACTACCATGAGACTATGTCATCTTTTCCAGTATAGCAACATACTTTGCATTTGCATGTTGAAAAGAGACCCTGCAGACTTACATTGTATAACCTATTAACATCACTTGTTACAGAGGGCACTCTTTATGAAAGATAGAGTCTCCCAGAGAAATCTGCCCATTTTTCACCACTAGTGTGTATTCTTTCACATGCCACTCCCCGCTCACTTCTGTTTACAAATTTCCATGTTTGTTGCTTCATCTCATTGACCTAGAAATTAACCTTCTAGCCACTTTTCTTTCCAGGCAAGGCAAAATCGATTACCTGCAAGGAGGGCTTCTCTTTCACACTGCTCTCTAGGATCACCTCTGTTTTGTGGTATGTGCCAGATGTCCACAAACCATGAGCACAACACACTATTTTACTCACCTTTCCTAGAATAGAGTGCCTCACTGATCTAATAATATGCAACAAGAGATGTATTTCAAACAGTAAACAGGCTGTGTGTGTGTCATGACCTTGTTCCACAACACAAGAAATGTGTCATGTAGTTATCCTAGGAGAATTTACCAGAGACTGTATACCACACTGAGAAAGAAATTCAGTGTATCAAGAAACTATTATATAGTGAGTAATGTATGCCTTCTAAACAAACTATTTAAAAAACTACTGTTTGTGTTCAGAATTATTTTAAAAATAAGTTCATTAGTTGGACTTCCAGAGTTTTATTTGGGGATTTTTTCTTTTCATACTTCACAAAGACTATACACATTTTCAACGATTTCTTTTAAGTGTTCACAGAGTTCATAAGTTCCCCAAACTTATGTGGAATAATTATTCTGTTATAATGAAGACCCTGATAACCACAAACACAGCTCCAAGCCAAAGGGAATTAATAGACATTGAATTTTTGGTTCTCAAACATGAAACAGCCCCATAAATATTTATAAAATTTCTTATATAAAACCAGTCTCACCCAGATGACTCTGACTGTAGCCAAGTTTGGGAGCCACTGCTCTTACCCACATGTGGAAAACTTCAGTCTCCAGTGTTAGGTCACAGAGTCTCTTTTATACTCAGAAGCATCTCTAGTACAATAAAAAATGTCAGTATAGGGGAAAAGACAAGGCTACTAAGAGGAAATCCATGCAAATCCTTAGGTGAATATTTTGCCCAATCCCACTAGACAACTATGGATACACAAGTCACTCTAAACAACCAATGAAAGAGTCAATCAGTAAATCCACAGACATGGGAACAGAGCAGTATATACTCTATCCAGGTGGTAGGACTATCCTAAATGCAACCAATTTCCTTCCCTTGTTAGAATCTTCTAATATTAATTCTTTCCAACTAAAAGTCTCATAGTTTTATGTTTCATCTTAAGCCAGAATTTTTCAATTCAAATTTCTAAACAAAAGAACCATGAGTTGACAAGTGCAGGTTGCAGCCTGCAAATGATATGCAAATGATACCTCTCTTTGTTTTCTAACACCATTCTTTTCTACTGATAATGTTTTTCTGAGTTCTAAGTAGTAAGTGTCCATTTTAAGTCAATACTTGGAATCATGTCAGCACTGTCGATAAGCAACTATGCTATGCAGTTATGTTCTTAAATGTGTGCATCACCTAAGCTGCCTGTATTGGCTGTATCTACCTGAACAGATAGAAGAAGATTGTTTTCAATAGATATCTACATCCAGCTGACTTTCATGAAATATTGGGTGCTTATGTATTATACATAGTCTTAAGAAAAGGACCGTTCTGGTCATCCCATGCTTTAGTATTTAGTTTCATTTTATAACCCCATTTCTTCATCGACGTAGACATCAAGGTGCTAGTAAAACAGTTTTATTTATCATGTTTGTCTGCATTCAATAGATAGAAGATTTATTCTTGCCTGACAGCATCTGACAGACTCTTTAAAAGTCCTGATCCAAAGTCCCATTCCATCAGTCAGTGCACACAGAGACAGTCTTTTAAACCCACCTATGTATGTGGGATGGTGTGGAGCACATCATTGCACATTTCTCTGTACTCATAAAAAATTGTACATTTTAAGAACAATAAAGACTGTGAAGATGAATTAATACAGGCTCAAACTTATCTTTTAAAATGTCTGTCTTAGTTTTTAGTGTCATGAAATCACTGCCTGACTGAGAAGGAGGATTATACACTAGAAATAAAATAATGAGCAAAGTTAACTGTGAAAGACATTCCCATTCAATCCTGTCTTTATCTTCCTTCTCTCCCTCCTACACACACACACACACACACACACACACACACACACACGAAAGACCATTTCTTATAGCCAAATCATAAGGCACTGTTCCAGGAACTTTATGTTAAGTTCTGTCTTTAAATAAACCACTTGAACAAGCCAAAACCACTGACTTTTTCTTGGTGTCTACACAAAACTCTAATTCAAGTTTAGTTTCCTTCAAATTCAGTCCAGGTGCTAAAATAGTCTTCTGGTTTTCAAGGAACATTCAATAGACTTTCTCTAGTCTATATTCATATTTATTATGTAGTTGCTAAGCATTCAAATATGTTGTATTTTCTGGATT